GAAATGCTGTAGAGACACGCCCGATGGTGCTTCCTCTTTATTTATTTACCCGTGATATATACTCAACGACGTCGCGTCTCTCGCTCGAGGATCAAGCCACATACCAGATTCACGCGTGAGTTTTAGGTCAGAGGATCGTTCTTTTTCCGATTATCTATGCTTTTAGAGCCTCGCCCAGGATTTCATAGCGACCGACCACCCGTCGACGCCGATGCATCTCCGCGTTTGTCCATAGTCTCCCGGATCAACCGCAAAATGGATGACCCGGGCGCCAAATAAATAACCGACAGTTGAGGATTTTCGGGTACCGAGCGGACGGTGATCCGTCGGATCGATACGAGATTAGCGCGGCGGAAATATTTAACCAACGAGAAAATACTATGAAACGTACGATGATTTTTTGAAGAGTTTTCGGGAAATTGCTTTTGCGAATATTCTCTTTCGCGGGATATCGTTTGAGGGGTAGTCAGTAGGACGAGGAAAAGTTGTTTAGTATGTGATAGAAAGAAGATTAAGTTTAATGAGTTTTTCTATAACAAGCAAATCAGAATTTCGTTACTGCATAACGATATTTACAACTGTTTCATCATTTTGTAACTTCAAAATATGTATGGAAAAATATAGTAAAATTCTAACCCTAGCTCTTTAATTCTAACGTATTAGGAAACGATATTCTAATTGTATCATTTTACTAAAAAATCAAATTTTCCATAAAAAATAAAATAAAATTTCATGAATTCCTACGTCCATCATCAATTAAAACTCCCACGAAATCTATCAACCTCCAAACCTTGCTTTGCCATCACCCAATCAACAAAGAGATACTAGAGTCAATGTATTGCAGAAATATCCAATCCACCCCGCTGAATAAGAGTCTAATTAAGAAAAAAGCGATTCGAGCTATAATTAAACAACCCCTATCGAATCCTCTTCCATCAATCTCTAGAGAGCGCCGCCCAATGAATTCCGGGCCCGCTCGAGCACTGGCTCTTACCCAAGTAAGTATAGATATCTGCCCTCGTAAGTGTGCTAGCTGATGCCAACGAACTATAAGATACCTTCTATATACCAGCCCACCTCACCCCTATTTCTTGTTCAGCCGTGAGGCGTTGCAGAGATGCGATACACATGGGCAACGGGGTAAGTATTAGGTACTGGAAAAAGTGCGCGCGGTTTTTTTGTTGGCAATGAATTCAGGTCTGATGTCAATTAGTATTTTACTAGTTTAATGAATGAAACTGCTATTAGCAGCAAGTTATGTATATGCCGTTGGAATTAAATCAAATAAAGAAATTTTACAAAAACGTTCAGTGTGTTTCAATTTTAATTTAAGAACCCAAACGAACTTTTTCCAGTACCTAACATTAACCCTTTGCTCTCGATTGAGTTTCAATGTTGTTGGCTGTGAACTTGTATTTAATTTTAGGGAAGTCAATTAATTTCTTATAATAATAATAATAAATAAAATATGTATGAAACGTTAAATTCTGTCTTGAATACTTTAAAATGTAGTACTCTTTAAAACAATTTCCAACGTTCTATAAAAAATTTGCATTGTTATCTCCAGCATAACATATGAGTCAAAGGGTTAACGCAAGAATTACCTCATCATTTCGTACTTTGACAATGAAAAAATTTCACAAAAACCTTTTAATATCAAAGTTCAAACGAATGTAAACTTGTCGGTTGCTAACACGAGGGTTAGCAAGGTTGCGCCAAGTACCCGAATACTTATATCGCCGTGGTGCATCGTAGCTAAATGAAAATCACTCACCGAGCTGACATCGATCGCCGCCTCTGCCAAGGGGGCATTGACATCTCTGTCTGAAGGACCCTTGCTTCCGTCTCGGGGCGACGTCGTTCCCTTCGAGATCCATCGCCATCGAGGCGGCTACCGCCGCGGCATCATCCGCCGCGTTCTCGGCCCCGTCGACGGCCACCAGCTCGACGTCGTCGCCTCGAGACTGCTCGATGTAGCAATTTCCAGCCGAGCCGCAATCCAACGAGCAAGCCGGCTCTGTGCTGACTATACTCTTCATCGTCGACGGAAGCTTCTGCTCCAAATTCGGCCCCTGGAACAGAGAACGGATTGCGGTTCACGATTAGTAAGCGCGCTCGAGCGTTCTCCAGGACTCGAGGAGACTGCTATGAAGCGTCGAGTGTCCCGCTCCTTCGGGAACTGGGTCGTTTTTATGAATTTCATTTCGGACGCGAGCGGGAATTTTGGCGATATTTCGAGGGTGCTTGGAAATGTCATTTGTAAGGGTCTTCGCGAATGCGTTCGGTGAATCGACGAGGTTGCTTTTGTAATGAGGATAATGCGAGGAATTGTTTAATTCTCTGGGGATGCAAATATTGTTCATTGTCGGAGATATATTTTATGGGAGATTTAAACGTTAAATATTGAAGAACTTTGAAATTGGATAAATTGTTTATTTGATAGAAAAGTAGAGAGTAAACAAGTTCATTTGAATATTTATTAAACATTGTTGTATATTTCTCCAATTTTGCACTTTTTCCAAAGATTAAAAAATTCTAAATATCTTTAAGACAATTCCTTGATCATCGTATAGAATCTATTTTCAATTAAATAATATTTTCTTTTATACTTAATACTTCGTTGGGCTTCTGAATGCAAACGGCTTTCAATTTTTTTGTTAATATTCTGTAATAATTCAAACTCACGAAAATCGTGAAATAAAGAATAGACTCGTTCCGATGCAGACAAACTTTGGAAAATGTCTCCATTGTTCCTGGTCGATGTATTATTCAGGAAAGACACCGTCTGCAGCCAGAAGCTTCGTGCACCGTTAATCGATCCATACTTCTCCCGTGGTTATCGCGAATTGAGGGTGGAAGCAACGAGACCCAGGCCGGCCGAAGAACGAACTAGTGCTTGTACACGGACCTGTTGCACGCGTCACGACGTTTTTATCCGGAAGACCTTTTGAATAAGGACGGAGGAAGTCTGGGGTTGCGTGAAAACGGCTGGTGTCTAACAAACTACCGGGATTTCGATGAAAACGTGCAGTTTCCGTAAACGGATGCGGACGAACAAATCACTGCGCTTTGCATTTATTTACAGCGCAACGATTCGAGAAAAATTTACTATTTTTGAAATTATTGTAATATATTATTTTTGGCCATTTTCGGAGAATTTTTGGTAAACGGATGTGATATTTCTACTCGCGAAAAATACCACAACTGGAAAATGTATAAATGTTTAAATAAAATTGTTCTTCAATGTGATACATTACCTAAATTTAAAAGAAATATATTGGATACTTTAAATTTATAAAAATTATCAAATCTATTCGTTTAATTGATTACTAATCCGTACCAAACATAAACCTTCCTCAACCATTGAATAATCTGTATGCTTGCCTCAATGTATTTTGATATGAAAAAAATAATAAAGTTACGTTAAATTCACGGAACTTTATTTAAAAAAACCATCGAGTCTACATTTACTTCATTACATTCACTTTATCAAAAAGAAAAGAATAAAACTGTCACAACCTACATTCCATTCTTCCACAAATCGACGAAGCAAATATACCTCAATATATTATAATATTTGATCGAACCGTTAATTTCAACAAACGAGTGCTTCGCAACGAAAAAATCATCATGTATGAACAGTTTATCAATGATTGCAATATTCATCGGTACACCGAACCCATCACTGGAATTCTCATCGTTTCCACTCACAGCGTGATTCGAACACCGCAGATTTCTATTTCGATAAGTTGCCGCGTTCGTGCGGTGCTGTCGGAAATTTTCGACGCCGGCGAGCGACCGGCGGATACGTGATTCTAGCGGACCGGATATGCAAGTACCGGCCGCGAAATTATACAGGAACCGACGCCGAGATCCGAGCCAGCTCGATAAACAACTTCAACGATTTTCCAATTATCCGGAATAACTTTCCAACAGTGCGACGCTCGGAACTGAAACGCGCGTGAATAAAAAACTCAGTGAAAAGAGGGTTCACGGAGAAACGAGCAACTATCATCGACCAGAAAAAGCAATGATATGAAAAATAAAAAGCGAGAAGAGTGTATTTCCAATGAAATTTCGCTTGGATGTTCCGAAATAAATTGAGGATCGTCCAATTTCGCGGTCTGCGTTGAGAATTCCGGCGAATGAAATAGATCCGCGACTAACTGGGAAAAAATAATGTTCAACAATTTTTTGACGTGTTTTTTGTTGCTGTACGATGTATAGGTATGTAGTCGCGGGTTGTTGCGGTTCAATGATTTTTGGGTCGAGCATTGCGAGCCGAACGACTGTCGAGAAATATCGAATCATGCGCGTGAATTCATTGTAGAGGATCGTTTGAAAAATTATTTGAATATTCTTTGAAATTGTTTGTAATTGTATGGTGTAATTTGCATTAATCCATTGAATGATTAGCAAAAAGTATCGAATTATACAAGTGAATTCGTTATGAAGAATCGTTTAAAGATCTGTTTGAGTGTTCTTTAAAATAATTTATTAATATAATTTTGTTTCTTGAATAAAGGTTCATATTTTTTGTGTGAACTTGTATCTATAGTTAATTCTACTATTAATTTGATTTAATTATATTATAGTATTGAAAAATTATTTAGGTCTACATAATGTTTATATAATTCAACATATATAACACGATATAAAGAAGCGAGCCAATTAATTGCAAAATTTGTTTAATCATTGTATTAAAATATTCGTTTGTATTTGTATATTCTGTGTCTCAATTTTCTTTTTATCCAGACTGAGATTAATAAATATAACATAATATAAAGTAAGCGTTTATTTACCAAAAAGAAAAAATCTCAAACTTAGAGATGTTATGTAATAATGTTTGGTCTTTTCGTTGTCGTTGGGAATAACATATAATTAACAGCGATTAAATGAAAGCTCGGCCTTCCAGAAAGTTGAAGAATTCGCAGTGTGCCGGGATAATATTTTAAAGGTAAAAAAGTTACAGCTCTTAGGGAAAAGTTCTCGGCTCTTCTCCCATAAAGATTTAAAAGGTCTCCAAGGGATGTTTAATTACATGGACACACTGGTCCACGGTGCATTAAACTTTATGGCGAAGGGAGAAAAATGCTTACCAGAAAATGCAAACAGCATAGGCGGAATACAGATCTTGATCGTAAATATTATATATTCAAAGGATTCATTCACACTCTTATAAATAAAATGGTTTTCTTAATTTCGAGGAACTGAATAAATGAAATTTTCGGAAGGTCCTTCTATTAACATAAAAGCAATTATCTTTTTAAATTAACTGTAAATTTCTTTATAATAAGTAGCAAGATAATCATTTTTTTGTAAATTTGTAATAGGTAAGGTATATCTTAGAACACATTTAAAAACATGATTAAATGAAATAATCTTGTTCCACAATTTTACTATCAATTTAAGAATGATTATTTGAAAATAATAGTCGGGTGAATCCTACAAATATTTTTACTTCCTATCTCAAACACTCTTTGACCACTTTTGGTCAGGGCTATAAACTTCGTAGTCAGTGCACTAAGGCTTGGCAAACTATATTCTGGGTTTACGAGCACACATCCGACCGATCTATTATCTCCTTTCAGAGTCATTTCAGATTCCGTGCCATACGCCGAATCTGGAATTATCAAAATGCTCGTTGAAATATTAAGTTAGAGGGAAAGTACTTCCAGTTTTAGATGGCACTAAAATGAACACGTTTATTTTATCGATTCTGATCCGCGAGATCAAAAGAAGTTCGAAGACAGTATAGAACAGATTCAATTTTCCATGCAAACTTAAAAAATTTTTTTTTCTTTATACACATATATAGTGCTTTTAACTTGTGCATAAAAATTAAAGAGATAAATGAAACCTGCTAAAATTTAGCATCATTTTTAAGAGTAACTAACATAAAAGAAAATCCGAATATCTCCGTAAAAAATTTCAACGCACTAGAAGTTAAGTAAAGTCGCATTAAATTTTATTACGGCCTTTACCATTACATTTTTAGAAAAATGTTTATGTAGTATATTCCAAGCATATAAACAATTTCACCGTTTCCCAAAATTAGTTAATCAATTATAAAAACAATTCAGAAAAGGGAAATAATATTAAATATTCCAAACTTCCCTGCATCACAATTTAACCCTTTGCACTCCGAAGTTTTTCACTAGAAATATTTGAACATTCTCTAATGAGATAAAGACGGTATTTTGTGAAACTAACTCGAAGAGAAATTACACGTACACTGAGGAACAAAGCTATTTTATTTTAATATTTCTCAAATTGATGCATTATACAAGGTATAATATTAAATATCAAACTTTATAGTTTTACTGTATGAAATCAAATGGTGACTGAGAGTCACCTATCGAGTGCAATGTGTTACTAGTTCTATCACTCAATAATCCAACATTCATTTCAGGGCACATCTCCTGAACAATACACAGGATGTATATTTCGAATGTTACAGCACGCCCATGATTAACACGTTCAACACCGATGCGTCAACCGGTGACTCACACTTCGATATCACACTAGACGGCGTGTATATACTATATAATAAATAATTCGTGAAATTGGTTTGGTAAACAGAAAAAATTACCATACAGTTGAAAATTAATTTACTCATAGATAATTTCAATATTTTCAAAAATTTTAAGAATTTCGCCGCCAAATGGACGAAATCTGATTTAAAGTGTCGGCATGAACGTGATAAGCCAAGTGCCGCTATTTTGATAATAGACTGATACAGTGAACATTAGATAATTGCAATATCGTCATCACCACCAGATCTCCACCAAGTTCTTTTTAACATACGATAGCGCTCGACAACCGATCGCGGTTATATAGTGTAACATGATCCGACTATTATCGAACTTGGCGCTTTCAACGTCCCTTTCTTTTCTATTCGCAATTCTTTTCTATATCCGAAACTTCAATGGCTTATTATGCAAGCAATTATGATCATAATTCCATCGTGTTTGGTGTCATTTTAACCAGAAGAACACAACAAACATGATAGTGAAAGTTTCATTCATCAAAAGTGAAAAATAAAAAAGTTTGATTTTTAAGTTAAAATTCTCAAGCTCATCTTAAAAGTCTCTAACATCTTCGTTTCTTGGGGTCGATTCGGTCCTACCTTTTCATAAATGCAACTTTCCGAGCCCGTTCAGCATTGCAATTGTCCAATGCTCACTGTGGTGTGTATCAGACCTAAAGGGACCCAGAGGTGCATACATACTTGGGACGTGGCTCCTAACTCGACTCGATCCAGAGGCGCGCTGGTCTCGTCGTTAATCTTCGTTAAATTCGTAGTAGCGTTCTCCGGCGGCGGGTCTAAGTGTATCGTAAAAGACGCGCCGCGCATATAAAGGATGTCTTCGACCGCATCCTCATCGTCGTCCGTGTCCTTATTCAGCTCGTCGTTCTCGACCTCCTCCACCAAGTCGCCGAGCTCGCTGGTCGACGGCGACGTCGAGTTCAACTCTGCAACAGAACGGGTCGTTAAAGAGAATTTGCGAAAACTGAGCCGAACTTCGGACCACCGGTCTGAATACTGGAGCAGTGACTAAGGTGAT